AAGCATGCCTGAACTACTGCCAACTGGGGCTGACAGTCCCTTCACAACCAAGAGCGATGTGTCCCCGGAAAACTCTCACAGTAGGGGCCAATTTCACAAGGAATGAGGTGACGCGAGCAGCCAAAGGTGAGACTTCCAAGGGATACAGAAGATGTGGGATTCAAACACCCATCTAGACAGCACAGGAGGCCTGGGCACACGAGGGCATGCACACACACACACACACACACGCACGCACACAGCAGGAGACAGGCCCTCACAGGATGGGACACTGTGCCCAGGGACATCTTACGGTCAAAATCAGAAGTAGGGGGTGAGTGGTGAAGACCCAGCATGGGGGCACGTTTCCTGCTAAAGTAATTTACAGGGACCTACATTTATATGAAGAATTCTGCACAAGGTGGACCAAATGTAAATTTAATGAGTGGGCCAATTAAGAAAGGAATATATGCACTTTTAATGTGCAGCTTTCATATGCTGAATGGTACATATTTTTTTCTGCCTTTGAGAGAATTAATAAGGTGTCATTGAGCGTGTCTTAATTTTTGAAAATTTTTCAAGACAGATGGAAGCAATTGGGGTGTTTGTGATCACAGATGAGAAAGGTCCCCCTTGATGATGGTTGAATTGGTTTGGGTTTCAGAGATTCGGTACTGAGTTTAGTCCTGGTTTTTTCGCACATTTTCGCGCTCCTTCAAGCAGGGAACTGACGCTGCCCGCCTGGGTGAGATGCACGCAGGGGAGGGACCCCTTAGTCGGCTTCAGGCCACTCCACGAAGCTTCTTTCCCACGGTTTCTCCTTTGTTTCACTTCCTGGGCCAACACTGGGGATGATATTGAAAGTCTGCGTAATATGAACAGGATGAACTGTTTATAAGCCGCTTTTCATGGGCTGCTGTGTAAAATAAGCGCACTTGAGCTCCGAACGCAGGCACACGTTCAGGGTCTGTTAGCTGTGTTCCCACAGAAGGAACATTCTAGTGCGCTGTCCCAGGGAAGTGGGCACCATCAGTGTTAGAGCATCGCACCTGACTTGCTGCAGCAGCGACAATGGGCTTCTTAACGTGATACTTGCATTTGACCACTAGGGGAAGAAATGCATGCACCTGTGTGTTTACAAATATAACTTTATTCTCCATATTATAATTTACCTAATTTGTTTATTCAGTTTTTGAATTCGGGGCAAAAGGAAAAAAAAGTGAAGTTTGAGAATTTAAAATTGGTTTTACTTTTGCTGTCCCTTTACTAGGTGTTCACTGAAGGAGTGAAAACGTATCAGGAGTGATTCATTTGAACACTGAGTGGGTACGGTCAGAAACAGGCATTGATTATCCACAGCAAACAGGAGTTGGAAAAGGTCACAGTGTCAAGTATATTAGCTCTTTCTGTGATGCTGAGTTGAGTCTCTGTTGTGATAACTTCAGTTGGAAATTGGAAGAATCTTGTGGGACAGGAGAAAGATTCTTCCCTGGTGATGGACTTTGTCCCAAGAAAGAACATTGTAGAGAGGAGAAATCCACTTCCTTTACACCAGCATAAGATTAAGCCTATTACATTTACATTGGAATTTTAAAAATCAGTGTACATACATGCACATGTATACTTTCAAGACTTTACCTGGAGGCCGGTGCTGCGGCTCACTAGGCTAATCCTCTGCCTTGCAGCGCCGGCACACCGGGTTCTAGTCCCGGTCGGGGCTCCGGATTCTTTCCCGGTTGCCCCTCTTCCAGGCCAGCTCTCTGCTGTGGCCCGGGAGTGCAGTGGAGGATGGCCCAAGTGCTTGGGCCCTGCACCCCATGGGAGACCAGGAGAGGCACCTGGCTCCTGCTATCGGATCAGCGCGGTGCGCCGGCTGTGGCGGCCATTGGAGGGTGAACCAACGGCAAAGGAAGACCTTTCTCTCTGTCTCTCTCTCTCTCACTGTCCACTCTGTCTGAATAAAAAAATAAATAAATAAATAAAAAAGACTTTACCTGGGTCTTGTAAGAAAACAACCATCCCCCAGTCATTATAGCCATCTATCAAAAAAAGGATCGGTGTGCCCGTTGCACCCAATGCACAGCACACCGGGGCCACTCACTGCTCTGATCTGCATTTCAACCCGCAGTGGCTGCAACCATCAGTCCACAGTGAACATCGCAGCCAGCCCTCCCCTACTCCAGTGTTCGCTGCGAATCTTAAGGATCCTGTAACGATTTTTAAGTTGGGTAGCACATTTTGTACCACAAATGTCAAACCCTGTGCTGTAAGAATACCTGTGTTTGGGCCGGCCCCGTGGCTCACTAGGCTAATCCTCCGCCTTGCGGCGCCAGCACACCGGGTTCTAGTCCCGGTCGGGACGCCAGATTCTGTCCCGGTTGCCCCTCTTCCAGGCCAGCTCTCTGCTGTGGCCAGGGAGTGCAGTGGAGGATGGCCCAAGTCCTTGGGCCCTGCACCCCATGGGAGACCAGGAGAAGCACCTGGCTCCTGCCATCGGATCAGTGCGGTGCACCAGCTGCAGCGTGCCGACCGCAGCGGCCATTGGAGGGTGAACCAACGGCAAAGGAAGACCTTTCTCTCTGTCTCTCTCTCTCTCACTGTCCACTCTGCCTGTCAAAAAAAAAAAAGAAAAAAAAAAAAAAAAGAATATCCGTGTTTGTAGAAGGGTCTACTTTCTAGATAATTCAATGCCTAATCAGAGGGCTGGGGTTCCAGTCCCAGCTCCACTCCCGACTCCAACTTCCGGCCGTGTGCACACTGGGAGGCAGCAGGGATGGCTTTACCTTGCTGGGTCCCTGCCACCCACACAGGACTCAGACTGAGTTTCTCTCTCCTGGCTTTGCCCTGGCCCCATAATGGCTGCAGTGAGCAGTTGAGGAGTGAGGCAGTGGACAGCATCTCTCTCTCATCTCTTCATCTCTCTCTCTCTCTCCTTTTCAAATAAATTAAATTAAAAAAAAAAAATGGGAGCAGTCCTGGCTGAGCTGTCCCCACTGGCACTGCTGAAAGGGCGCTCACTCCGGGGGCGACTTACAGAGTTGACCCCACTGGGGTCCAGGCAGCCTGGGAGGGAAGAAAAATGAGAGAAGCCCACTGGGGGCCATAGGGGTTTTATTCTTTCTTTCCTAAAACAAAATAACGTAGCCCCTGGACGACAGAAGACAACGACATAAAAGTCTTTACGGGAAAACAAAATCAAACCCTTGCCCTCCAGAGCGAGCACGTATAAACCCGAGCCAGGCTGAGGGGCTGCCAGCAGCCCTGAGTGTTTTCCCAGGCACCCTTCCCAACTTCGCTCCGAGCCCACTGGCCCCCCACTTGTGCTCATTCGCCCCTCCCCCAAAAATCCCATTATCGGGTTCCTTTTCCGCAGCCAGATCTCACCATTGCCTCCACGAAACCTGAAAGGGCTTCCAAATCAAGTGATTTGGCCACAGAGATTTTACCTCGACTTGTTCTTTGCAAAAGCGGGTGGGGGTGGGACCCCGTCCTGGTAAGTTTAGGGGACGCTGTCCCCGACCCCTTTCCTGGGAAAGTCAGGGTGCACATTTGCACACAATGAGCCACAGAAAGTCCCTCGGGTTCCAGCTTTTCTCAAAGACGCTTACCACGCACGCCCTGACACAGGCCAGCTCGAAACGCAATGTTCCAGGAAGCCTTCTTAGGGGATCCCTGCCCCGCAGCCTGCCAAGCCACAGGCAAGACCCACCGTTCGCTTGGGGGAACACAGGCTCTCCACCCGCCCAGCCCAGCCAGGTCCTGCCGGAACCCCACACCAGGAGCTGCGTTTGTTTTCTCCAGCAAATGCTCTGTAAGCACACGCGTGTCTGCGGGTACCGGGGGCTCACAGGGCAAGTCAGACACAGACGCCTCCTCCCAGCGGCTCAGCCCTGAGCTGGCGCTCCTGGGAGGCCAGACCTGCACGGGCTGCCTCCTGCAGGGCGGGCCAGGAGCTCTGCATCGTGCCTCCGGATGCTTCCTTAGAGTGGTTTTCCATGCAACGGCCCCCAAGTGAACAGCGTTTGCTGCAAAGTCAGTTACCTAAGCGGGAGGTGGGGGGAGCCGAGGCTGGGAGCGGAGGGCTCATTAGCACTCCCTTCTTAAATTAGCAGATCCTTCGAGCACGAGTTTAAAAATAGCAACCTAATGGCTTCTAAAGTTAGCACGCTCTCCATACACATTCCAACTCCAAGGCACTCGTGGCCCCCTTGCCTGGGCTCCAGCCGGCTCGGCTCTCTTCTCCCAGCACATTCTTCAGAGTCAGCAAACTTAACGGTTGACCTTGACAGAGCTGAGACGGAGCAGAATGGCCCAGGCCAGGAATGGCCCGGGTAGCCCTCAGAGACCTGTGGTGGAGAGGGCCAAAGACCACCCCCGCAAGGGAGGGGCACCTAGAGGACCAACAGTCCTGCTTTGCTGGGGACTGTCCCGGTGTCAGCCCCAAAGTCCCCTGTCCTGGGCACCCCCAGCAGAGCAGGAGGTTGGTCACCCCTGGCTACCTGAACCATTGCTCCAGGACAGCTTTGGGGAGGTGACTCAACTCCTCCAAACCTGCTGCTGAGACCCGCCACCCCCCCTCCCCGCCCCAAGCCCACTCTTAAGCTCTGGAACTGAGTGAGGCAGCGTTGAAAGCAGGACTAGAACCTGGGCCAGCACTAAGCAGGTCGGGCCTAGATCCTGGATCCCCTGCACATGCCCAGTTTCCTCACGGTGGTCACGGGTGGCTCTTTAGGATAACCCGGGGAGCACATGTCAGCGTGTGCACAGCGCTCGGGCCCAGGACACGGGCACGGCCGGTGTGCCTCTGCCCTGGGCTCACTGCACCTGGCGGGCCTGCCGGCTGCAGCTCCGGCCTCGGTGCCTGCACCAGAACGCAGGCCCCTGCAGCGGCAGTGAGCAGAGCTGAGCTGCTCCGTCCCTTCTCTGCATAGCTGTGTGCAGGGACAAAAGACTTCAGGCAAAGCCGAAGCAAAGACGGCATCGTGAGCAGGTGCAGGTGTCGTGCAAGAGAACCAGCCGTGAGCCGCCACCACATATGCCCGCGCGACTCCTGCAGCCAATGACGCCCTGCCTTGATCTGTGTTTATCCCTTCTTGCCTGTTTGTCCACCAGGACAGAAAACGACAGATCACCTCCCACAACGCCAGGACCTGGAAGCCCAGGGATGTGAGTGCTTACCAGATGACGGTCTAGACTATCAGTCACTCAGCAAGGGCGACTGAAACAGACGTTGCCTTGGAGACGCCGGCAGGAGAAGCAGGTTTGGCCTGCGGAGTTCCTGGCCGGTTCAGGACACTGAATCAGTCGCCATCCACGGAGACATTTTGGTTTCCTCCCTTCAGAACCAGATGAGGTTCGAGGGCTGTGAATGAAGCCTGGCTCCCTCACTTCAAAGAGGAGGACGCCGAGCCCTCCGTTGCCCGTGGGTGGGGCCAGCACCAGGGCCCAGGCCTCTGGACTCTGTCCCCAGGCGACAGCAGAGAAGGGAGCTGGCAGTGTCCACGCGGGGACTTCCCACTCCCCCTCTCCTTCTGTCCTTCCTTTCTTCCCACACCTCCTGAGTGCCCCCTCTACGCCTGGCACACCAGAGGTCCCCAGAAACGTTCCGGATGCTATTGCGTCTAGAAAGCTTCTTCAAAAACCTCTGGAGTGGATCCACGTCCCGTCTCTGCGAGCCGCGTGCAGCCTTGGCTCCGGCCTGAAGCTGTGCACGAGCTGCAGGCCCCAGGGGCACAGGGACACCGTCCTGGCTGTGGTCCTGGTGACCTTGGGAAAGTGACCCTTGGCATCCGTCATCAAACTCAGGTCACTTCCAGCTCAGAAAGTCAAGACTGCGTCGGACCTGCCTCGGGGGGCAGCCCAAGGCTCTCCCCTGGTTTGAGCCTTGTCAGTGCACTGGTTCAACAACAGTGGAGACGACCGGAGGCTAGAACGCTGGGGCGCTGGAGAGCAGACACACAGCAGCTCCCCGGAACCCAGAGCCTGGCTGCCCGCTGTCTGCCGCCCTGCCCTGCAGCTCCAGCCCCGTTCCTGCACCCCGTGACCTCTCAGGAGCTATTTTCTAGAATATGTTAATGGTCACACCAGCCGCCCGGGACAGAAATAACCACACACGGGTAATGTTTAACCGCTCTCCGTTCCCTCCCCGCCTCCCTCGGCTTCATTAGGGCTCCTGTGGGCTCCTGAAGTGGTGCGGCGCCACCCCAAGGGTCCCGGGCGCCACGGCCGCGGCCTTGGCCATGGCCAGCACGGCCGTGCAGCTCCTGGGCTTCCTGCTCAGCTTCCTGGGCCTGGTGGGCACACTCATCACCACCATCCTCCCGCACTGGCGGCGCACGGCGCACGTGGGCACCAACATCCTGACGGCCGTGTCCTACCTGAAGGGGCTGTGGATGGAGTGTGTGTGGCACAGCACCGGCATCTACCAGTGCCAGGTCTACCGCTCGCTGCTGGCGCTGCCGCGCGACCTGCAGGCGGCCCGCGCGCTCATGGTCATCTCGTGCCTGCTGGCCGGTGCCGCCTGCGCCTGCGCCGTCGTGGGCATGAAGTGCACGCGCTGCGCCAAGGGCACACCGGCCAAGGCCGCGATGGCCGTGCTGGGCGGCGCACTCTTCATGCTGTCCGGTCTGCTCTGCATGGTGGCCGTGTCCTGGACGGCCAACGACGTGGTGCAGAACTTCTACAACCCTCTCCTGCCCAGCGGCATGAAGTTCGAGCTGGGCCAGGCGCTCTACCTGGGCTTCATCTCCTCGTCGCTGTCGCTCATCGGGGGTACCCTGCTCTGCCTCTCCTGCCAGGACCAGGAGCCCCGGCGGCCCTCCCGGGCGCAACCCCGGCCCATCTTGGCGTCGGCGCCCACCTACCAGCCCCCAGCCGCCTACAAGGACAACCGCGCCCCATCCGTGACCTCGGCGACACACAGCGGGTACAGACTGAACGACTACGTGTGAACCAGGGGCCTGCACGCCCACCTGTGTGAGTCCCCTGCGCTGTGTGCCCGGCAGGTGCAGGCTGCGGGACCTTGTGCGAGTCCCCAGGGCCCGCACAGAAAGCCTGGACTGCTTGCTTGGGGAGTGGACAGTGTGAGTTTCTGCTTCTAGACTGTGCTTCCGAGGTGCTGGTGGTCACCCTCAGAGGCTGTCCGGCTCAGAGACACCGAGCCCCAGGAGCAGCCACCACCCATGCAGGCCGGCGCGGCGGTGGGAACCAGCGTGAGCGCCTGGGGGCCTGTCTACTGTCCAGCCTCGGAGCCTGATGGATGTGTGGCCACATCACGACGTTTGCTTCTGGGCCGGTTCCGAATCGAAAGGAACACTGTGAGCAGGGACGAGAACTCGGTGTACCAAAGACTCCCAAATACTCCCTTCTGCTTTTGTATTTATTCTATGTATCTTACGTGGGTGGCTTAATAACGGCACAATAAAAACCAACTGGTGAGTCTGGCCCATGGAGTTTGTGATGCAGACTGACTGGGAAAGTGCACTGAATTAGTTTCGGTTTCCAGAATGTTCTCCCAAGGTGCTGGGGCTCACAGTCAGAGCCTGTGGGGCCCAGGGGCACCGCCAGCCATGCTGACCACAAACACCTCTGAGTCCTGACCCTATGGTGACCCCCACCGATGCAAGACGACAAGAATCAGGAAACATCCACCGGATGCTGAGCCACACACACACACACGCACGCACACGCACACACATACACACACACACATGCACAGACACACACCAGACACATACACACAGAGACACACACATGCACATAGACATACACACAGAGACACACACGATACATACAGACACAAACGCAGACACACACACACATGTACAGACACATACACACACAGAGATACACACATGCACAGACACAGACATACACACAGACACACAAGATACATACACACACATACATACACACACAGAGACATACACACACAGAGACAACACATGCACAGACACAGACATACACACAGACACACAAGATACATACACACACATACATACACACACAGAGACACACACAGACACAGAGACACACACAGACACACACAGAAATACACACATGCACAGACACACACCAGACACATACACACACACAGAGACACACATGCACAGACACAGACATACACACAGACACACACGATACATACACACACACATACACACACATGCACAGACACAGACATACACACAGACACACACGATACATACACACACACATACACACACAGAGACACACATGCACAGACACGCACACACAGAGACACATACATACACACACATGCACAGACACAGACATACACACACATTCAGACACATACAGACACACACATACATACACACACAGAGATACACACATGCACAGACACGCACCAGACACATACACACACAGTGACACACACATGCACAGACACAGACATACACACAGAGACACACACATACATACAGACACACACATACATACACACACAAACACAGAGACACACACAGACACAGACACACACACACACACCCAGACACACACAGACACATACATAGATACAGACATATACACAGAGACACAGACACACACATGCAGATACACACAGAGAGACACACACACATACACACACCCAGACACACAGAGACACATGCACACACACACAGACACATATGCAGAGACACACACATGCATAGACACACACAGTCACAGAGATACACAGACACATACACATGCAGAGACACACACATGCAGAGACACACACATGCAGAGACACACAAGATATACACACATGCAGACACAGACACACACATGCAGAGACACACGCACACACAGAGACACACAGACACACACAGACTCACACATGCAGAGACCCACACAGACATATATAGACACACACACAAATACACACAGAGATACACACAGAGACACAGACACATGCGCACACACACAGGCATACACGATATCTGTAGCCCATCTGAAATGCAGGGACAGGGAGGGAGGAAGGGGCCCCCTTGGGACAAGGTAGTGTCATAGATCACATGACAAGGACAAGGTCACTTTCGCCCTGTGAGAAGTAAGTCCCCACTGCTGAGAGAACAGAAGGCAGAGGGGAAGCAAAGCCAGCGGGGCTCGTGGCTCTCTGGGTGTTGGCAGGATGCCCAGCTGGGAGACCACTCGTCCCCAAGCACCCTGGAGGGACTGGCGGGCTTGTTTCCTGGAGTGGCCGTGACAGCAGGGACTAACCAGGGTTGACTGCTCCTTCAGCTGCCTTGAGGACACTGACGTCCCCTCTGGCTGGAATCCAGGGAGCCGCACCTGCTGCTGTGCCCACGTGGGTGCACGTCCTTGCCCATCTCTGACAGCGCCCTGCCCATGCCTCTGCCCCGAACCTCAGACTCTGGCGGTGGGAGATGTCTCGCTCTGAAGGCTGCGCGGAGACCTACACATGGGGGTGCCATATGGTGAGATCCCTCCATCCGTGATGGTCTTGGGGTGGGGCCACAAGGGCACCAGCCGTCGCTGTTCGCAGGGAGGAGAGCCACAGCGGAGCTTCTTGCTGGCACAGCCTGGGGAGACTCTGGCCCAGCACCAGGAGGGAGAACAGGTGGGAAGGAAAGGCCGACAGGCACAGCCCAGAGACCCTGGAACCTCAAGGCCAAGGTCTCACAGTCCTGCTGACCTGATGGGGTCCCCAGGCCGGCGCTCAGCCCAGGCCCTGCAGAGGGCAGTGAGAAACGCAGCGGCCACCTGCTGCTCTCACGCCGAGGCTGTCCCGGGGCCGGGGTCCACGGAGTGCCCACAGCCGGTTCCCCCAGACTTTGCTGATCCCCCTGATTCCTGCAATGCTGGGGACGTCTCTCAGGGGCCTCCCAGCAAGACGGAGAAGCAGAGGGGTCAGGGAACAATCGCACACACACAGGTCCTCCCGGCTTCACGCAGAGCTGTAGACCCCAGGTGACAGGTCAGGTGCCTGGAAGGAGCAGGTGCCAACATCTCGGCCCTCAGCTGGCCACAGAGAAGCCAGGACGGCCACAGTCTGCAATCCGTGTGGTGAACTTGTTCTAGGTAATAAAAGACCGATTACAGAGAAAAGAAAAAATAACCCTTTGAAGGGTGGGCGTCCGGTGCAGCGGTGAACAGGTGGCCTAGGACACACACATCCCATAGTGAGCGCCCAAGTTCGAGCCTCGCCCTGATTCCAATCCCAGCTTCCTGACCATGCACTCCCTGGGGGGCAGTGGCGATGACTCAAGTGCTCATGTCCCTGCCACCCACGAGGGAGACCTGGGTTGAGTTCTGGCCTCCTGGCTTTGGCATGGCCCAGCCTCTGCTATTGTGGACATTTGGGGAGTGAACTAGATAATGGAAGATCTCTGTCTCTGTCTTTCAAATAAATCAAAATAAATTTAAAGGGGCCAGGATTGTGGTGCACCAGGTGAAACCACTGCTCACACGCCAGCATCCCATAACCACGTGCTGATTCAAGTCCCAGCTGCTCTACTTCCGATCCAGCATCTTGCTAGTGCTCCTGGGAAAGCAGCAGATGATGGCCCTAGTACCCAAGCCCCTGTCACCATGTGGGAGACCTGGATGGAGGTCCCGGATCCTGGCTTTGGGCTGGCCCGGCCCCTGCCATTGCAGCTGTTTGGGGAGTGAATCAGCAGACGGAAGAGCTCTTGCTCTCTCTCTCTCTCTCTCTCTCCCCCTTTCTCTCTATCACTCTACGTTTCAAATAAATAAATGCATAAATTTTTAATAATTTTTTGTAAAGATTTATTTATTTTATTTGAAAATCAGAGTTACACAAAAAGAGGAGAGGCAGAGAGAGAGAGGTCTTCCAACCGATGGTTCACTCCCCAATAGGCCGCAATGGCCGGAGCTGAGCACATCCAAAGCCAGAAGCCAGGAGCTTCTTCTGGGTCTCCAACACGGATGCCGGGGCCCAAGCACTTGAGCCATCTTCTACTGCTTTCCCAGGCCATAGCAGAGAGCTGGATTGGAAGTGGAGCAGCCAGGTCTCGAGCCGGCGCCCATATGGGATGCTGGCTCTTCAGGCCAGGGCGTTAACACTGCGTCACAGTGCCAGTCATGATACATACATGTTTTAGATTAATTTAAAAATTTAATAATATTTTTCAAATTTTGATTTCTTTTTTTTTTTTTTTTTTGACAGGCAGAGTGGACAGTGAGAGAGAGAGACAGAGAGAAAGGTCTTCCTTTTTGCCATTGGTTCACCCTCCAATGGCCGCCGCAGCCGGCACGCTGCGGCCGGCGCACCGCGCTGATCCGATGGCAGGAGCCAGGTGCTTCTCCTGGTCTCCCATGGGGTGCAGGGCCCAAGTACTCGGGCCCTTCTCCCCTCACTCCCTGGCCACAGCAGAGAGCTGGCCTGGAAGAGGGGCAACCGGGACAGAATCCGGCGCCCTGACCGGGACTAGAACCTGGTGTGCCAGTGCCGCAAGACGGAGGCTTAGCCTAGTGAGCTGCGGGGCCGGCCTCAAATTTTGATTTCTGACACTAACAAAATGTCTCTCCATGGCCAGCGCCGTGGCTCACTAGGCTAATCCCCTGCCTACAGCGCCGGCACCCTGGGTTCTAGTCCCTGTTGGGCGCCGGATTCTGTCCCAGTTGCCCCTCTTCCAGTCCAACTCTCTGCTGTGGCCAGGGAGTGCAGTGCAGGATGGCCCAAGTGCTTGGGCCCTGCACCCCATGGGATACCAGGAGGAAGCACCTGGCTCCTGGCTTCGGATCAGCGTGGTGTGCCAGCCGCAGTGGCCACTTGGGGGGTGAACCAACGGAAAAGGAAGACCTTTCTCTCTGTCTCTCTCCCTCTCACTGTCCACTCTGCCTGTCAAAAAAAATTTTTTAAATGTCTCTCCTACTCAGATGAAAGATTAATACAAGTATATTTCAAAATGTTCATGGAAATGGAATTGAAAGCTGATATGTGTCCTCCATAAACAGTTTGAAGGTCCCTCAGCATAATGAATATCACAGCTCCCTGAGCCCTTACTCTCTGCCAGGCATACTTTTCACTTACTAATATTTGTTAAGATTTTATTACTTATTTGAGAGGTAGAGACACAGAGAGGGACAGAGACAGAGACAGAGAGAGGGAGAGAGGTCTTTCATCTGCTGGTTCACTCCCCAAATGGCCGCAACAGCAGGAGATGAGCTGAGCTAATCTGAAACCAGGAGCCAGGAGCCAGAAGCTTCTTCCTGGTCTCCCATGTGGGCACAGGAGCCCAAGCACTTGGGCCATCTTCTACTGCTTTCCCAGGCCACAGCGGAGAGCTGGATGGCAAGAGGAGCAGCTGGGACTAGAACCAGCGCCCTTAGGGGATGCCGGCACTGCAGGTGGAGGATTAACCTACTTTTACTCATTTTCCTACTTTTACCTCATTTACAAATTTGATCCAGGTAGAAAGAAGGGAACCCAGTGCAATAAACACGCTCCTT